GTAAAAAAGTTGTGTACAGCTATAAAAAATAAAATATTAAAAACATAGTAGTAAAACATCCCTCGTATTGCCCATAATCTAAAAATAAAAAGAACGTTTCGAATCTAAAATAAAAGCATAACGGATAAGTTTTTTATGTATTGTTGGTTATGGGGAAAACAGACGGTCGACCAATCAAATATTATTATGTGGGTATATTTATTTGTTTATTATTGATTCGGTCTATGTATTTTGCGTACGAAATTAGGCGACCCTTTGAAGCGGTCGGTCACCTTTTCGATCCTGGACAATCCAAACAATTCAAATTTCCCGGTAGAGAAGTTACGTAAACACAACACGTTTCGGTAGAAAAGGATTTCACGTGTGTGTGTGTGTGTTTAGGTCGTAAAGCAAATATAACAAAACGGGGGAAGTGTGTGTGAAATTTGTTATTTGTTGCGCGCCGGGCAAACCTCCGCGCGGAACATCAAAAATATTATCGGCGACTCTGGAAAAAACTTTGATCACTATATAATACGTATAATAATAATATATTATATAATATTATGATTGATGGTTGTGAAACGAATGAACACGTGCGGAGCCTTTGGAGAATGATGATGATGATGATGATGATGATGATGATGATAATAATAATAATAGTACGTGAAGGACAAAAAGGATGCATGTTGTGTTGACATTAGCGCGGCAAAGAGTTTTCGGGGCGGGTACAGGTCGCGGTGACGAGGACGAGGGGGAAAATAATAATAAATGTTGTTTCGAAAACCTCGACAAAAGTCTACATGACTGCGACAACGGCAGCCATTATAATAAATTTCTTTTTATACAACGACAACGCGGGGAAAATTCGCTTTTGATTCAAACTCAACCTGCACGTATATGCAGCGACCTACGTGTATTTCCACTTCGGCTGTTTCGATTGATATCCACCGTGTACGCACCTAAATATTTACTGTTTCGTAAATTAATTTTTCCCGAATAACCGCTGTAAACGTTTTTGTCGCACCCGTTCCCTGCCGGTTTTACGAACAAAGTACCAAAGGTTGTTATATGAACAGCCGATGTCAAAAGGCGGTCTCGCCCACGTAGCGACAAAAATGTAAGAAATTCGCCGTTCGTCCAAACACAAATAGAAAAACAACAATGGAAAAAATATTGTTTTCTAGATTGGACACGGGAAAGTAATATAAAATACACAATATTGTATATCGTATATTATAAAAAATTGGCACGAATTTCACACGTTTTGTCTAAATATTAATTTAATACTATCATTATTGAGAGGAGTAGGATGTAATATATATTCTACTTTTTTTATAAACGGTTATTCATAAATATCTTTGAGGGAAAATACTAAAATAGTAACAAAATAATATTCGGAAATACTTCACAATACCAATACCAATACCAATACGCAGTAAAATCATTTTTGATGTAACCTCTTTAAAAAAAAAAAAAAATAGTGTTTCCACACAATTAGCATTAGTTAGCATTAATAAAATTTTCTTAATTTATTTTGTTCCAGAGATTATAATGGAGTTTACTTTGTGACAGCCAAAACGTGAGTGATATTTTTTTATACTGTTAACAAAAGTATTTTGGAATTACAAAATTGACCAATGGTCAAATAATGTTGTGTTAATATATACGAGTATTGTATAAATAAAAAAAATGTTTATAATTATTATTAAATCCGTACAAGTAGAAAATAGAAAAATAGTAGAATCTATGCAATTCTATACATCCGATCGTAAAAATCTAACCATGAATATTTTAACGAAATTAAAAAATAAAGGGAAAATAATACGCTCTTATATCTCGTGAAAAGTAGCGTTTTTAATTAAAATATTATTTCTAAGAAACAAAAAAAAAAAACTTATTGTAAATTTATGTATTATGATTTTTCATCGATAACTTATTTATATTATATACATTTTAAAAAAAAAGACTTCCTAGGATAATGATGACGGGTGCAGCCACTGTTATAGGTAATTTAATGTGAATCTGTAAGCGAAGATTAACGATTGCTAATGCAAAAACAATTCTGAACGGAGGTCAGTTGATAATGTTGCTTTGTCACCAATATATATATATGTTATATTATGGTAAAACAATTGCATACGCATAATATACTTTCTTTAATAATATTTGTTTAATATTGTACATATTTACCCGATTTTTCGGTTTTTGCACTTGTGTTGAGAAAACCCATGGGAAAATCAAAAAAATAATTTCCCTGAAGTATATTTCCTTTTAAAAAAGGGCTATCATTGTAAATAAGAGTAAAATTGCTGATAGAAAAGTTGTCCAAAGGAAAAACAATCCTATTATTTTCCTAATATATTTCATACATTTTCCCGTTGTTCCACGTTTTATTTCGGTTTTTACATTTTTTGAGAAAACTCCTGGAAAAATCAAAAACTGACCTTTTAAAATTACCTTCTTAGACAGATTTTCTTTCAGAAAAAGTGCTATTGTTGTAATTTGGAGCAAATTGCTCAAAGAAAAGTTTTTTTCAAGAAAACAACAATAAATAAACATTAAGGTTAGGTTAAGAATTTTTTTAAGATACTGAGTGGGTCGAAGAAGCGTATAATTTTACAAAAATGACTATAATTTTAGATTCCAAGCGTATCGAAGGAGCTATTGGTTTTACTAAGATGTTTATTTTTTTTATTTTTTTCTTCTAGTCTGTGGACGCGTTCTTTCCGAGTAAATTTTTACTCTGATTTTTACATGTAGCACCTTTTCTGAAAGTTCAAACTGTCTATATTGTGCTTTTAACGGGCCATTTTTTGATATACGACATGAATTTTTAAATAAAAGCACTGAAGTGGGAAAAACATAAGAAAACGTACAATTTCATGATTTCATTATTTTATAAAAAACACGGACGACGTTTTCTATCAGAAAAAATGATTTAATCAAAAATTTACAAGATACATTTTTAGTCGACTTTTTGATTTACATTCTTAAGGTTTCATTGCCAAAACTTCTGAGTCACTTTTGAGCTCTTAAGGAATTTTAATTTTAGGGAGTTTTTTTGCTGTAACTCTGTTATTAAATACACTTAGAAACTTGAAACTTGGTAATAGTACTTACATTGGACTAATCTAGAAGTCGTCAAATTTCTGAAATCATCGGATAACTTTTTTTTTTTTTTTTTTTTAATGATCGTTTTAAAATCAAATTTAAACGAAAATCGAAAAAAAAAATTACGTCACTTCTAATTATGTATTACTGATCTGCGCTCGAATCGCCTTTCTTCAATCAATGGTCTATCGTTACTTACAGATATAAATTAAATTATCTTATGTGTCGTACCTTCTCAACTTCTCGCCTACAACAGTGGCCTCTTCCATCCCAAGTATTATCTCTTCTTATTTTTTTTTTTATCTTTGCACAACTTTTCTACCAGAAGACTTGTTCAGATTATTATGTGTAGTACCTTTTCTAAAAGGAAACCGGTGTGGGGAGGTATTTTTCGGAGATCATTTTTCGATTTTCGATGAGTTTTCCCAAAAAACGTAAGGAACTATGATAAATCACAATAAAACCGAGATTAACATAGGAAAACTGAAAAAGTTGGTACAATATTAAACAAATATTATAAAACGAAATATATAAAGCCAAATTAATTATTTTACTATAATATGGCGTATATATTTTTGACAAAGCATTACTATCATCTGAACACCACTCGGAATCTTTTTTTATTTGGCAATAATTTGTATTGTTACTTACAGGTATACATTAAATTACCTATTACGGTGGCTACACCCGTTCCCATTATCCTAGGACGTCTCTGTTTTTACTTTAACTTGCGGAGAAAAATGAACAAACCGCAATTGTTTAGTTCCGAAGGAAGACAAGAGGGGATTTACACAAGCAATTACAATTTTGATAATTGATTAATGGCACAAGGGCATAATTGCTAATCGCTATATAATAAATAAGACATATTCTTTTTTTGCTGAACAAAACGTGAATCATTATCATTCATGATATTTTAATTTTCTTTAAATCATTTTAATATATACATACGCTTATGTGATTTGAATCAAAAATATAAAAAACGTCCTAGGACAATAGGGACAGGTGCAGCCACTGTTATAGGTAATTTAATGTATATCTGTTAGCAACAATAAACCATTGCTAAAGAAAAATGATTCTGAGCAGAGTTCAGTTGATAGTGATTCTTTTTCGACAATATTTATATATACCATATTATAGTAAAATAATTAAATAGATTTTATATATTTTCTTTCAGAAAAAATGTTACACGTAAAAACCGAAACAAGTTCTCTGATAGAAAAGTTGTCCGCAGAAAAAATAATAAACATATTTGTAAAATTATAAGCTTCTTCGCTAAAAAATTGTAATAACAAAAGACAAAATTACATTGAAAACTTAAAAAAATGTTAAACAACAGACCAATTCCTTCTTTCCCGGGACCAAAAAATTATTATAATTCAATTCAGTTTTTTATAAATTTCACAGAAATGCATCTGGATCGTCTGTAAAGTTTTAAACAATATTCCGTGTATACTAACACGAAGTAGGGTCCGTAGTATATACTCACTACACCGTCCCTATACGAGTATTATTATACGTAGTAGTCAAAGATTAGAAAATACGTATAAATTATACTTAGAGGTTGTCACTTTGGAACTATGTTCCTAGAGTAATCATTAATAATAATAATATGTAATAATATACCCGCAGTAGGAAATATGTCTTGTGAAATTATTATTATAATATTTATAATGATATCTGTTTGTTGAATGAACCGGTGATTTATTATTTTTGTTTAAACAACAATAATATTTCGCCGAGATAATATTTTACGGGTATGGATATTTAGTCTATTTATTTTTGTTGACAGTCAAGACGTATTCACTAACATGAGGCTGTCGGGTAGTGAGATTTTGAAAAAAAAAAGAAAAAGAAAGAAAGAGAGCTGATACTGCTGGGTGAGCAACTTTTTAGAAGGGAAGTTAAGATATAGGATGTATAGAGTAATTTAATTAATATCGATATGTACGCAACATTGAACCATTTCCAATGAAAAACGATTGAGAGCATAGCATTATATTAGCCGATATTTTGAAGTTTTGTTTTCTCATTGATTATGAAAATTACAAAGGCGATCCGTGCATAACCTTCTTTTGACTGCGGTGTGCTAGACGTGCATATGGCTTAAACAAACAACCTAACATAACTTTTAGAGATCCACCATTCACGGGCAGCCGATGTTCAGTATTTCCAATAAATATGTATAATAACGCAATTAAATAGGTTATTGGTTTGTCGATCGAAAATTCAGATGATGATAAAATATATTGTGTTCTATAAAACTGTGTGCTTCCAATATAAGTATAAAATGACTGTTGTTCAGCTTTATGTACACCATATACACAAGTATATGCGGTTTGTTAACATATAAACTTGTTTATTTAGAAAAAAAAAAAAAAAAAAAAAAAAAGAAAGGTAATGCGAAAACTTATTTGATTTTAACCGCATTGCGTATTTGATGCTGTATATTTGAGCACTGTATGTATGCATTTATTTTGCAGTCACGCGTTTTCTTATATAACATAGATCGTTTAACAATAACATAGGTAGGCAGTTGCATTTCGTCGAGCCATTTTATAACGCAACAATAATAATATCGACGAAGTATGGGTAGGTACCTAATTTTTGCCGGAACAAGTGAAAAAACGAAACAATATAAAAAAAAAAAAAAAAAAAAAAAAAAAAAAACGAATTACAATGTGTTAAGAGTCACAATAAATCGGAAATAAATCGTTAATATATTTTTTTTTTTTTTTTTTTTTTTTTTTTTTTTTTTAATAGAAGTAGATATAATTATAACGGCATATTATCAACTTCATTAAATTAACAATATGCTAATAATAATTAAACGGTTGAAATAAAATATTGTCAGATCAGTAAATTATCTCGATTATTCCATTCGATAACATTTATGTACTATATATATAGGTACAAATAAAAACAATAGTTTTAGATTATTCTTATAAAAACTACGTTTTGCGTTTGTATCATAGATATTATACGAACCAAAGAATGTCTTACTGTTATGTGTTTTCATTTTGTGTCTGCTAAAAGCTGTAATACCTTCAGAAATCTTGCTTCGATCGAACAACGAATAAAGATATTTTTTATAGAACTTTTAGTCTAGTTGAAGCGTTTGATTTTTTTTTTCTAATTTTCCTAATAATTGAGAAAAAACGAGAAAGTTTATAGCATTTACTGTTTTATTATTTTAAATTTTGTTTTTCCAATAGACATAATGAATTTCGAAAGTAGCATTTTGTCTGAAAGGACATTTTGTATTTATTTTACGCGTACTTTTATTTATATAATTGGAAAATCCCAAAAAAACATTATTCAGAATCGTTAGAAATGATTTATTGTTGCGAAAAAACGTAAATTTGCAACTATTTGTATCCTATCTTCCCGAATTCTCATTTACAACAGCGGTACACCCATCAACAGTATCAAATCTTTTTTTTTTTTTTAAATTTTTATTGACCTGGCGTTCCACCTTCGGGCGGAATCTGATGAATATGTGATTCACCACCAATTTATTATTTATAAATCCATATGCTCACCGTAGTAATGCTATATGTACAGATTGTATATTTTTCTAAAAAAAAAAAAAAAAAATGTCCATTGACAATTGATTGAATAATTTATTTTGACCGCACCTATAAGCCAATACCTACGTGATTAATAATAAAATATTATATAAGGTATTCTATTTAGAACGACGACGTGTGAGAATCTCGGCAAAAAAATAAAATCATTGAACTTTTTTATTCACTACACATCCGGCATACAGTTCTAATAAGTATAGGTTGAGTAGAGGAGCTGAAGGTTAGGTATGTACCCGTCTCGTACATACTAGAGAAGAAAAGGAGACTCGTAAATTTCGTGAGATAAGAGATTGGTTCTCAGCCAGGTGACTGTTCGCCGTTTTTTTTCCTTCTTTCTTTCTTTCTTTCTTCCACCATCCTCTCTTTTTCTATATTTTTTTCGCCTCGTTACAACCCCTCGGGACTTACGCGGCCAACTCGTTCACGTGTACGCACTGCTCCGGCGTCAAAATTAATTATTTGTTAACCCACACACACTCATACCGCTATAATATGGGAGAGTTCCTCGGCTTCGCCGCTGCCGTGCCGTCGAAACTTTAATCTGGTTAAGTTTTATACCGTTGCGAAATTAATTGCTATACTGCTGATCAATTTACCACACACGGTCCGTGTAAAACGTTGTGTAATTCCGGGACCGAACAACTATTATTATTATTATTATTATTATTATTATTATTATTATTATTATTACAGCGATTATTCGCTTCAATTTTCAAAATTGCATCGATGCAATATAACATAGGTATTATATATGTACGACGTATCGCTGATCGCACACATATTCTGCATGGGCGGGCGTAAACGAGTTGAAAAATTCAAAGTTAGGCTAGTCATAACCCGAGCTTAAAACAATTCACTAGTTTTAGTTTTAACTACAACCGGTATAACGTAAATCAGTCGATTAAAAAAAAAAAAAAACCACAAACTCTTTCGCGTTAAATCATCGTGGATAAACTTAACGTTACTGAGTTTATATTGTTCGTTTACTTGCTATCTGTTGATCAATATATTCATCTCGATATTATATTGAAATCATACAATATAACACTATTCCATTAATTAGAACTTTAAGAATATTATTAATTAATTTATACAAATTAAATTCATGTTCGATTGTATAGGTACTGCAAATGATATTTTAATTAAAGTTAAAATTATACCGGAAAATGTGTAGCCGCTATTAAAAAGTACCACAATAACATGTAAATATAAATTAATAATGATTTTATACAGTCAACTTTATAAAAAAAATTGATTGTTATTGCCTGGCGACGGTTTTCACACGAGTTTTCTTTAAACTAGGTTAATCTAAATATGAGGTCTATAATATGTATTATAACAATTGATGATTATTCAAGTTGTAATTGGAAAAGTACGAGATTTAACTTGCAAATTAATACCTCTACTAGATACCTACCGCTGTCAACGTGTTAATAAATTGAAATGTATAGAAGTACCTCCTACGGGACATCGATTCTATAATATTTTCCAATGCAAATTTATAAAAATATTAATAACTATTGTAATAACGATGGCACAAATTAATCAATTACACTCATAGAGCCAATGTGTAAACTATTATTTACGAAATCGATTTATAATTATAATGTTTTACAGACTAAAATAATTTTATCGTGTAAATTATTCATGTTGTATTATTCGTATCGAATTTAAAACACCCGTGAGCAGCAGAACTTCGTTACTAGAGTCGAATTTGTTTTCCTCCAATTTTGTATTATTATTGTAGTATTATAATTATTATTAAGTATTTTTTTTTTTTTGTATAACATAAAAAAATAACCGTCTACTATAAATAATACAATATTAAACTGCACACAATCAAGGCTGATTATTAATGAATTAAAAAGTTTAGTTAATTTAAACTTATTAAATTAAACTACTAGTTTGTTATTTAATTAACTTAACTCATTTTCCTCTACGTTAACTTGAAATCTACTTACATTTTTGTATTATTCTCTTTAATTAAAAATAATAATAATAATAATAATAATAGTGAAATTTGAGCTTAAAATGACAACGACGTGGTTGAAAGTTAAAAATCCTAAGGTCACATCTTTGATACCAACACATCCCTTTGGCTTCATGTGAGCATCTGTAACAACACGGTGAAATTTATATTAAAATGTATTTAATTCAACTTTTTAACTTTAATCAAAATCTTTAATCTAACTAAAAAAAAAATTTTTGAATTTAAACTCATTTGGTCCTGAGCCCAAAAGTATCAGATTATAAGGATTTTCTTGAATTTCCAAACAAAAATTACGAACAAAATTAATACATTCTAAGATATCGCATTTATTTTCGAATGCCTTGTATATAGAAAAAGAATATGCTGTTGGTTTTTGGAAAACGTTTAACCTGATCCGGGCAATTTTATCGCATGAGAGAGTATGTAATAAATAAAAAAAAAAAATGAAATAACTCTAATACTTATTTGTTTTAGTTCTATAATAGCGCGGCTAAAAGAAATTGTCGATTTATACGTAGCTACCTTTTTAATATAAAAAAATATAAATTCGTACCTATTGATGTAGATGAAATATTGTCTATATTTCATAATGTCATAATTTTAATACTACCTACCTACTACACCTTATGTAATACCCTTACGAAACGTTTTTGATATTTCAAACGCTGCAGCAGTTATAAAACAAAATCCAATTTCGTTTTTGCATATGTGGGTCCGAGAAACGACGACGATGACCTACGATAGTGAAATATTCTCTTTTGTGTTACCTATACTCTATATATGCATAATACGATCAGAAAACTTCCAAGGTAAAATAGCTGACACTAGGAATGGGTGCAGACTCGTGTAGATGGAAAGTTTGGAAGGTAGGATACATAAAGTTATTTAATTTATATCTATGCACACCGATAAATCATTGCCAACGAAAAACGATTTGGGACGAAGTTCGGTAAGAAATATTTTGAAATGCCGTAATTTTTACGATTTTTGACAAAATTTTATGTAAAAACGCCTATGAAAAAGAAAAACTAATGCATTAAACTCAAATTTGTTTTTAGGCAAATAAGTAAAACTTATAATGTATCTTGAGTTAAATTTTCAAGTATTTATCTTATTTCGTATAATTTTATAACAGATGCCTACTAAAAATACATACAGAGTGATTTTTTTTATCATGAATCAGCAATTATCTCAGAGGATTTTAAGTGAATTTGATTTCTGTTTTTTTTTTAATCATTATGAAATCGCTTTATTTTAAAACCGTTTTTAATTGTTTACCCCTTCTCCATATACCTTAAACAGTTTACAGTTTAAACCGGAGAAGTAGAGAAGGGTAATAAATTGCCTATATATAACCCTTCTCTACTCCTCCTCTACCATCTTCCTACCATATAAAATTTAAACTGTTATAACCATTAAACGGTAAACCTGATATAAATGTTATGCATATTAAAATTCCTAGAAAAATATTTTCTATTTGAATCTGTATTCAAAAAAAGTGGTTTCTATTTGAAAATCAAAAGTAAGCACTTATTTAAGGTATATGGAGTAAAGGTCAAAAAATTAAAAACTGTTTAAAAATAAAGCTTAAATGATTCCATAATGATCAGAAAAAAACAGAAATCAAATTTACTTAAAATCCTCTAAAATAATTTCTGGTTCATGAAAAACAAAAATCATTCTGTGTAAACACACGAACATATCCAATGCCTCTAAATAGTTTAAAATTAGGTAGGATATTTTGAACATTCTACCACGCCTAAAAAGTTCAATATTATAAGTATTTATTAAAACTATAGGTCCCTATAATAATTTATAACCGAATAACCATAAAAAAAAAACTCAAAGCATTACGCTTATTTACATGCCATATTTCCAACTTTATTACCAGTTTTCGTAATTATACGGAAAATTAAACAACTTTCTTACTCGCAAACTATACGAAATTTTCTTTCAGAAAATATACAAGACAAAACATTATATCGGACAAAGATTTCTAGTAGGCAAATATAACCTTAAACATTTTAGTATTACGAAATCGTTGAATCATAATTTTTAAAAAAAAAAAAATCATATTTTTCTTTTATATTTGCTTCTCCCAATTATAATGAAAACTACTTTAGATATCAGACAACGACTTTCTTTGTCAGTAGCATACTATTGAATGAAAATAAATCCATCTCTTGTCATTTTTCGATTGGAGTAATATTTCTGGTAGAAAAATAGTTCATAAATAATAAAAAAAAAAAACATATCATAATTAAACCAATAGATCCTTTTCTACGCTCCGAATCTAAAATAATAAAAAAAAAAATATTTAATTTTTAGCGGTATAATAAACAATTTTAGTAGTTAGGCTTAATAAATAACAGTTGTACATAATTATCAATCCGGGGCTGGTATATTAAATTTTGTTTTATTTCATACAAATAGATAATACAGAATATTATATACGAGCATAATAAGTTTTTCGAAACTTTTGATAAAATAACAATTGTGTATACGAAAATAATACAGCTCTTAAGATAATTATTTAATATTATAACTTAAATATATTTAATATTATTATCTTTGTAATTAAATATTGTTTTATTTAATTTTGACGAAGTGTGTAAAAACTTTTATTCGTAGATTATCGCTCTAACGAGTCGGTGTTATCTGTAGTTAATGCACTCTTAGGTTAGTTTAATTGAAAATTATTCCAATCTGAATATTTTTTTGTAAAATCGAACAAAAATCACGGTTAAACGTTATAAATTGAAGGCGCCGATGCAATAACAAGATACATTTAAATTTACAATTTTCAGGAAACACAAAAAACATATTATTTTTTTTTTTATATACATAAGAAAAATTTTAAAATTTTGAAGTATTATAATATTGGTTTGTACATTACCTATTTCAAAAAATTGAACGAATAGCACATTTTAACTATTTAATAAAATAAACACAATAATTACCATAATGCTTAAATATTAGTTTTATTTTTTTTGGCGCGATAACAGAATACGTTCAAAACGTATCTGATTATTGCACCGAATTAGTTATAGGTAATACATTAATGAATAAAACATAACCGCGTTTATGACAATTCATTGTTTCATATTCATTATTTTTTTTAATTCGTATATATTATTATTCCTTTTATAGAATTTATAAACCATTGACATAATTTTTTTTTTCTTTGATTTTGTTTGATACTTTGTGTTAAGACATATTGATATGTTAAAATAGTTATAGAGTATTACTCTATGAAAAAAATCAGTAATAATAGTGACATAATGATTATCAATATTAGTGCTCTACAGTTTCGCTAATATTATAAAATTAACTGGCTATTAAATAAAACTATGCATACGATTCATATTATTGGTCTCAAGAATATTAATTTTTAACAAATAGCCAGGTAATTTAGATTTACGTTTGAAATCCCTGTTTAGAATTTGTTCTTCCATTAAAACAAAAACTATATTATGAAAAACAAAAAAACAAATTAATAACAATACTAACCAGTTTTGATTTTCATTCAAAAAGTGAATAATCTTGATAAACGTATTTTTTCAGTGCTTGTTATTTTGGAAACGCGTTACATTCGTGTACATTTACTATTATATCAGTGTAACATTCTTAACGTTTCAATACATTGTTTTATTATTAGTATTAGCATGTTAGAACATTTTTAATTTTGCGCTGTCATCTCCACACCAGCAGTACAAAAGTTTGTTAGTTATTCGTTTTGTTTTTTTTTTAGTATTTTTTTTTTATTCTATCCATTTACTATTTACTACTATAACTACCTGCTTTATAATGCTGTGTCAGACATTATTAACAAAGTTTACATACAAATGTGTTAGAATGTTTGGAATGTCGATCGCTTACAACGATGTTGTGTTGCTAAGTTCACGAAGGTAAATATGTACTCGGACATAAACAAATATTCTTCACTTAAAACCGCACGTACACCTTTAACTATAATGTTTAGTAATGTTTATCTGTTGGAACCGTTTTAGATTATTTAATTTATTTGGCGTTTACAATAATATTATTATGAGCATAGCAAAATACATTAAATATAATAAAATAATATGTAGAGCGTGCATGAATATAATAATTGATATTTTTTCCCCTCAAACAATAATACGTGCAATTTATTAACGTGGTATACTTGGTTAAATTCCGTAATAATTTTTAACTTTAGGCAAATTTTCAAATAAAAACACCCGCAAACATCAAAGCTCCGTTATTATATTATAGAATAGAATATTTCCTCAAAGTAGTCGTCCTTTTGCCGTTAATTAATTTAAGTAGGATTTTTGGGGTCTTTAAAACATCCATCATTTTCAGTGAAAACATGAAATTCAAGTATAAAAACAGTAGGGAGTAGGAATTGAATGTCACATCCTTAATACTATAATATCATATATTACTTAAAGTCGCATACCCTAGTACAATTCGGAGAGATCAGTATGGTTGTTAAAAGCTAAAAATAATAACCTTCTCCCGCAAAACCTGGGTAAATGTTGGCATACACACGGGGAAAATTTCGGCGAGGGGATTTAGGTAGAGGTTCATAAATAAAAAAATAAAATACATTAAATTATAAAACTATTAAACGATACGGTTTTTAAATTTCGGGAAAAGGAGATTTAACCCTTAAATCCCGCCCTGTATACGTATCTGATTAAATTCTTATTGAAACTAAACTTTCATCACTTCAATCCGCCTATGTAATAATTCTCGAGTTTCAGTTCATTTTATCCAGAGAATGCTGGAGAAAATTCAGTAAAAAAAAAAAAAAAAACACAAATGACGACAATGAAATTTAATGCTGACAAATATTATTATAATTTTTTAAAACAATATTACAGGTATATTAAAAAAAAAAAAAAAAAAAATGACTAAGGTTTCTTTTGCAGCTGTTATGAATAAAGAAAATAAAAAAAAAATAAATAGTTTCCATCTTGCACCTTAAATACTCGTTAAATATTCCCTTTCAGACGCGGAAATTATCGGTATATTATATATGTACCAGGAGGACTATACTTGGCGGCGACGAACTTAAGAAATCCTTATGCTAATGACTGGCTGCAGCAGTATGCGCCGAGTTTTGGTGGGTTTTTGTACTTATCAAAAAGTTTTAATTAAACTCGGAGTACGGCTAATGCGGAGGCAAGTGGCCGGGACCGAGATATAGTTTTCGGGAACGAACCGAATACTATACGGTGACTATACCCTTCTGTTTCACGACGAAACCCTCGAGGGGCCAATAAAAAGAACCAACTAATTTAAGTGTTCCTCTTTTCCACTAGCCTCTTTCGTACTATTAACAATAAGACACTATTCGTTTTTGTTTTTTTTTTTTTTTTTTCGACACTTGTTTCCGATGTAAACATCACCCTCGACTATAATAATATTAAAATATTATTACAATGTAACATAATAATACGTTCCTTAAAGCATTTAATTATATCAGTCTGGTTAGACTGAAGTAAACACGCGTGAATCGTGCGAAGAACAGACGAATAATAGCAATCATTGATTTAATCAAATACACGACACGCATGTTGTTGTTTATAGTGTTCATGCTAGTCGACAGCCGTTGTAGTCACAATGGAAAATACGTTTTATTTGGTTGGTTAAATGTATCAACAGCATTTTTTTTGAAAAGTTCTAGTAAAATTTGTTGTTAAGTGTAAAACGTTTATTGGATTATACGTTGGAAATCATCTACACTGTTCTTTATGGTTCTCACTTTGACATTAGCTTGTGGATGATAATGCTTATTCCAAATTATTAAACTTAATGTAGTTAGATTTTTTGGATATACATTATCAACTTATACTGTTATAAATATCATAATCAGATTAAATTATGGCCATTATCATTAATACGTAACAAGTAGTATAAAAAAAAACAGATTTATTAAAAATTAGTTTTTTAACCACATTTTTGTCTAGATTATGACAGTATTATCAAATATTTTAATTTTCAATAAGCAAATAAGAATTAACAAATTTTTATTTTGACCGTTCAATAACTGTCTAACTAACCGGAAAATGAATTCCGGAAATAAACGTTAACTTAACTACTAAACTGTTTAAAGTGCCGAAACGCGTCAATATCATTATTAAAAAGACATACATACTTCGCACGTGGATGGGCCACTGTTGCAGGTGAGAAGTTGTGAAGGTAGTAGAAAGGAAACTTTATGTATATCTGTACGCTAAGATTAACCATTGCTAACTAAAAAACGGTTCTGAATGGAGTTCGGTTGATAGTTTTGCTTTGTCAATACGATATAATACATTTCATATCGCGGTAAAATAATTATATATTTATGTTTAAATATAATGCAAGTTTGAACGCTGTGTTATTATTAAGATTAAATTGAAATTTTTTTTTTCTTTTGTTACCAAAATTATTATTATTATTGATACCATTGCTATATCGCTCTAATTTTTTTTTCTTTTTCTTTGGTTCAAATTGTTTAATATTGTTTCTTTTAACAGTGTTTTAATAAATACTTATACTTACTGTATTGTTTTACAAAGGTTCGATTTGACCCGTTTATAATGAATAAATAAATATATTTTCTTTAATAATATTTGATACTTATTGTACATATTTTCTCGTTTTTCTGACGTTTTTCCCGCTTATTTCTGGTTTTTTCTATTTATTATAAAAACTCCTGGGAAAATCATAAAATGACACCCCTAGAGTACCACTCCAATCAAATTTCAGATTTGCATTCAGAAAAAGTTCTATCATTGTAAATCAGAGCAAAATTGCTAATAGAAAAGTTTTTTATGGACAAAAGAAAAAAATTATTTTCTCATTATTTTTTCAAATTACGCCGCAATGATTTCATTGTTTCAAAGGTTTACGCTTTCGGTTTTCTACCAGAAATGCCACTAGAAAAATTGCTTGAAACTAAGAAACTAAAATAATAATAGGTGATCTTTTTTGTTAGATTTTTAACCTTGTCAATGACTAAGAACGTCATATTTAATTTTTTTAATAATTGAACAAAACAAAAAAATACGTAGAAAGAATAAGATAATTTACGAAAATAAATGTTTTATTATTAAAAATTTTGTTTTGTTAATGTAATTCAGTCAAAAATTTGTAGAAACATGCAATTTTGACAGAAAATAGAAAACTTGCTTTCTCTACATGAGGTAAAATTGTGTATATTTAATAAAAATTGATATAAATAACCATTTTGAACTATTTTTAGATATTACAATTTCGCGAGCTTTTTACCTAATTTTTATTTGGTAGGAACTCTGTCAGCGATGACATTTATTTTTTTTTTTACTCATTAGATACCAAAGTCATGCAATAATAGTTAATATTTATATAAATATTAATTAATTCTATTATGTAGTGATGTTCGAATTAAAATTTTAAAGGTTTTTCATTTTTCACAGTTTTATATAGGTACCATACTTGCGACGACTTTATAAAACTTTTTCAATAACATTTAATTATCTATATTATTATAAAAGTAAAAATAAAGTGTACAAGATAAAACCGCTAAACGAAAGAGGTTGAACTTAGCGCTGTTCTACCGTAATTAATATTAACCACAAAGAATGTTTTAATAAAATATTCCGTACGTCGTCGTGTTCGCTTAAATTGCGTTTATTTTCCCTAAATAATAATTATAATTTATAATATTTTTTTAAAAATTATTTTTTGTTTTTTAATCAAACGAATTTCGAAACAACTGTAAAAATAAAACATACTCTGTAATCTTTATTTATTATTTTAGTCAAGAATTAATGTATATTCTTTTTTATATTTATTTTTTTTATTATTATTATTTCAATACATTAAAATAGTAGGAAATTAATTATTAGAGGTATATTTACTTATTTATAAAATGTACGGATGGCAGCCTAAGTACAAGTCTATGGTATATTTTTTAAGTGTGAATACAGAATTTGTTCAAAATATATTAGTGTAACAAAAACCAATATTAAATAAAAATTATGCCCAATGTTCATTATTGAACATATTGAAACTAATATTTATAAAATATTAAAAAAATAAAATGAATTACAATTAAAGAGATAAAAGTGTCATACATCGAATTAATTATTCATAAATAAAAGATGAATTATGGTTTATTATTTAATTATGTAAATAAAAAAAAAATCTTTATAGTATTATAGTACATTATTACATTATTATAGTAAATGTATGCTAGTTGTAAAAAAACAATACATTATTCTTTGATTAAAATATGTACGTTGTTTTGATTTTAAATATAATAGCAAAACAAACTATTATGATTTTACCAAGAATTCATAGATTTAAATTTTTTTTGTATCAATGGCTATATAGGTAACTTATAAGATGCAGATTTTTTGCATGATGTTATAGTAGCTAAAAATATTTATTCCCGAAAATTATTATAAATTTTGTTTTAAATTCTCTTCTAATGAAAAAAACGCTCCGATATTCTTATGTGGTGTCTTTCAATGATGATGCGAATTTTTCATCGTAATACTTAATATATAAAAAAAAAACCGATAAACCAATTTTGTTTTTGTTAATTTTCGGATGACCTTGGGTGTTCATAGGAAAAACAACACGACTGGTAAATACTTTTTTACAAACAATTACCAGAAACTGTTCAAAATCGTTTTGAGATTACAATGACCGGTACTTCGGTACTTCGAGTATGTAAATCAAATTGATACCATACTTCCTAATATATTTCCAATTTTCCACCCACAACAGTGGCCTATACTTTTTATGAACCATGAGTAGGTATGTCTGAATTTCTATTATTTTTAGTGTAGGTATAAGTCGAGAGCCTATAATATCATATAATTACTAAGAGACTGGTTAACGGTCTAATATGCGCTAATTTACAGACCTGTTATCTATACTCATAGATCGCCTTACTTGGTATTGAAAAATTATATAGTTTTACGGTATACTGCCTTAGGCGCCTTTCGTCATTAAAATTTTAAAGTTATTCTCGAGAGGACAACTCGATTTTTCATAAAAATTAATACTATTTGTGTCGACCATTTTATAATATTAGTAATACATTATATTACTATAATAAAAAGTACAGCATATAAAAGAGATTATACGGAATGGGTATTGGGTATGCTATATAAGACTTCATAAGACGATATAAGAAGCTTTAATAATTATAGACCAATATTAGTTTAACTTAACGTATCGCAAAGCAACTCGACAAATGTATAAAAAAGAGATTTGTTTACTTTTTAAGAGAACATAAATTGTTAAATGAAAACTAATATGGCTTCAGAAAGAAATTATCCACTAATGATGTTTTATATTGAGCTCTTAAATGTATTTATGAAAATCTTAATTTAAAAAAAAAAAAAAAAAAAACAAGTCATTGGTATTTATTTAGATTTAAAAAAAAGCTTTTGTCTCTGTTGACCATAATATATTATTAAAAGAACTTGAATACTATGGAATAAGCGAAATTAATTACTTTAAAACTATTAAAATCATACATTAGATATAGGAGCCAAAAAGTAAAAATTAACGATGTTTATAGTGATGACTGATAACCGACAAATTAATAATTATTCAGTACCTCGGGGAACTACACTTGGGCCACTATTTTTTTAATTTATGTTAATGGTTTGCTTAACCAGAATATAGATGGTAAATTATTTTGTATTACTGATGACACGATTTTTATAGTAAATAATTCTTGCATGCATAACCTTAAACTCGAAGCTAATAAAGGTATTAATGTAATTAAAAATTGGCTTAACAATAATTCCTCGCAATTCAATTTTACCGAAACTAACTAACAACATTTTAAAATAAGTAATAATAGCAGTAATTTGACTTTTGATAATTTAGCATTACACACAGTCTCATGTAAAAGAGATGTGGATAATTACATCTGCTCTTCAATTGTACAAACATTCTCTGTAAAATATTTAGGTGTACAGTTTGATGAATTCTTAGAACGGAATGTCCACATAGATAAACTAATATCGTTAGTTTGAACATTTGTTTATGTATTTAAATGCCTTGACTGTTAACGTTAAAACAATAGTGTATAACTT